ATAAAACGAATAAAACGAATAAAACGAATAAAACGAATAAAACGAATAAAACGAATAAAACGAATAAAACGAATAAAACGAATAAAGCGAATAAAACGAATAAAACGAATAAAACGAATAAAGCGAATAAAACGAATAAAGCGAATAAAAGCGAATAAAAGCGAATAAAAGAATATAAAGCGAATAATTCATAATTCGAATAAAAGAGAATAAAAGAATATAAAGCGAATAATTCGTAATTCGAATAAAAGAGAATAAAAGAATATAAAGCGAATAATTCGTAATTCGAATAAAAGAGAATAAAAACGAATAACTCAATTAATTAATAATTCACATAAAACGAATAAAACAAATAAAACGAATAGTAATTTGAATAAAAGATAATAACCCAAATAATCAATAATTCACATGCATTAATTAATATTAAAATCAAAAAACAACAATAAATAAACAAACAAATGGCTTTTATTGCAAAAGAATTAATTTTGTTCCTTTGGGTTAATGATTTAAAAGAATTTATTCAAAATAATATTGTTAAATGTATAAAATTTAATGATTTTGATACACCAATTTCAGTCCAAAATCAATCATATTTATATACTTTAAAATTTCTTTATTTCTTTTTTTGATAAACAACAACAAATTTACCCTTTGTCTATTTGTTTTACTAGATTCAAATAGATTTATTAGATCAAATGGTACATTACAGCAAAATTTTGTAGAAGTCGCAAAATATGAAATTATTATTGTAATCGATTGAAATCAAAAATTAATTAACTAATTAGAAGGACTTTCCAGCATCAAATTTTCAGTCAATCGTCAACAAAAAAAAAAACGTGACAGGTACAACGATAGAAAGATATTCAGCACTTAACCAATTTTAGATATAACTTTAATTATAGCAAAATGGTATGGTGCAAGTCACTTGCCATAAAAGAAAATCAACCTTTTTATTGTGTAACAGTGCCAAGTGGAACATCTTAATGTTCCACGAAAAGAAGGGAAAAATTTCGACAATGATTTATTTTTTCCAAAAAGTAAATAATAATATATACGTTATAATTATTTATTCATTCAATTACAAGCATATATTATATAGAAATATTACAAATGTTTTATTGTCCACACGTTGATTTAATAGTTAAACAAGGATCTCCCTTAGCTAAAATTGGTTCTTCTTCTTTCAAGGTTGCTTTTTTTGACTTCTTTACATTTTTATCTAAATCATATAAACTGCACATAAATAAATATATTTTAAAAAAATTACATATTTAGAAACAAATAATCAATGGTACTTTACATTGCAACTCTTGTGATATAAAAACTCCAAGAATATGGATTTGTTTAAATGTGAATTATTTCTTTTTTTTTTTTTAAAAAAACAATTTAATTATTATGCCTACATTTCGTATGTTCATGTAATAAACATAACAATCTTTTTCTAAAGAGTAATTGTCGTGTGATAGTTTGTAAGAGAAACTCTCCTACAGGACATTTGCATGCTCATGTTGAAGGATATCATAAGGTTAGAAAAGGTGTAAATTAGGTGTTTATTGGTTGATCTGATAATGAATAATATGAATAACTTATAATAATGATAAATTAGGGAGGAAAAAAAAACCACTGTCATTGTATATTTGTAAATCCACATAATTTAGCAATATGGTGTCAAGCTTGTAATGTAGAATTGAATCCCTTTGAAAAGAATTTCTTATCATTGGAAACGCAAAAATTCTTAAAAACCATTGTTAGATGTTTGGTAATTATATATCACATTGAGTTTTTTTTGCTGATTTTTGATGATTTATTTTCTTTCCTTTTTTTTGGAAAATTTATTAATAATATCTATTTAAAACAAATTATAGCAAGTCAAAAAACATAAATCACATCAAAGTTTTAATAATCTAGCAATTGATGTTCCTGGTAAATTTATATTATAATGGAATTTCTAACCAAATAAATTAATAGTTGAATGAATAATAATAATAGTATATATGTGTAAATTTTATTAAAGGTCTCGTTGGATTAAAAAATTTGGGAAATACCTGCTATGCAAGGTGAAGATTTATATTTAAATTTAAAAAGTAAATTTACCAATTAATATTAATATAAATTTTGTAAACAATTTTATATATAGTGCCGCTCTTCAATGTTTATCTAATACGTAATGTTAATCATCATTATTATATATAATATTTTATTAATAATCTATTTCATATTGAAACTATGTGTATTTATAGTTAATTGTATGGTTTTTTTGTTTTTTTTTTTGTAGGCCATCATTAACAAATTATTTTAGTTATTGTGAATCATATATACCAAAATTTCATACTAGTACAAGATTGCATGGATATAAATTAGCTGAAAGGTTTCACAGGTTTTTTAGATCAATGTGGAATGGTAACAGGTTAGTTAATAATGAACATGGTATATATTATATTGATGAATATATAGACTATTTCAAGTGGGATCAAATTTGAGAATTGTAGCAAAATTAGTTAGAGATTGAAAATTATATCCCCTTCTTTTATTTTTGGTTTTTTTTAATGATATATATATATATATATATGTGACAAAAATAACTTTTTTTGTAGTGCATTATATTCTCCAAATGATTTAATTGACGAGATAAAAAATTACAATGAAGCTTTTCGAGGTTATGGACAACAGGTTTATTGTTTATTCCTACTATTATGGTAAAAGTAATAACAATATTTATTTATTTACCATGTTATTCATGGTACTTGTATTATAAAGGACTCTCAAGAATTTCTTCGTTGTGTACTGGATATACTTCATGAAGAACTTCCTTACCCACAAAATACTATATCAAATAATCAAATAAATGAAAATACAAACAACAACAACAACAACCAGATAGCAAAATCATCAAGTTATGCTAGAAGCAACAATAGTCATAATTATAATAGTACCAATGATGTATATGAGTCATCATCTTCTGCTTTGACCACAACAAATAATTTTTCTGATATTGTTGATAACCACTCACTTTCTACAAGTGTTATAAGTAATATTTTTCAAGGGTTGCTTGAGAGCAAAATTAGATGTTTAAAATGCAAAAAGGTTTGTTTAATTTTTATTATTATCAACATGAAAATTATAATTTTATTTTATCTTGGGACATAATATACAAATAAATATAAAAATTTTAGGATTATTTCAAGGAAGATCGATTTTATGATTTATCAATTCAAATAAATAAAAAATATAAATTAAGAAATATTGATGGTATTAATTCTAGTACTTTATCTATGGGATTATTTGTTGGTACATTAAAAAAATCTCTTGGGTAAGATATTATATATTACATGTATCTAACAATATAAAAATTACACAACAAATTATTAATATTTTTAATGTTTATTACTAGAATTGGTGGTCATACTGCAAGCCTTCATGATTGTCTAGCAGAATTTTGTGCAACTGAAAATCTTGCAGGCAAAGATAAATATCGATGTGAACAGTGTAAATCATTGAATGATTGTCAGAAAACACTTAGGATTACTCAATTACCTGAGGTTTTTTTTTCTAAAAAACATATATGTATACACAATACACTCCTGGATACATGTATATATATATTTACATATTTATATTACCAAAATAGATTCTTTGTATTCAACTGAAAAGATTTCACTTTGACCCATATTTTTCATCAAAAATTGCAACACAAGTCCAATTTCCAATGGAAAATTTGGACATGAGACCATATTGTAAGGAATCAATATCAAAGAAAAATTGTGATAGTCCAGGTATTAGTGAAAAACAAGAATCATTAAAAGTTACTAAATATGATTTATATGCATTAATTCATCATCGTGGTGGCTTATCTGGTAATATATTCAATATATATTTCCTTCCCCCTTAACATATTAGATTCCGGAATTTGTCATTAATTTTGATATTTGATTTGTTTAGGTGGTCATTATATTGCTTATGCCAAAAATCCCATTGATGGGAATTGGTATGAATTTGATGATATGGTCAGTTATTCTCCTTACTAAATATTTTTAATTTTAAATATGTTGATAGTAGGATTAAAATTAATATAATTATTGCTGCTATTTCAGTTTGTCACTAAAAAATCTGCTGATGAGATAATGAAGATCGAAGCTTATATATTGTTCTATAGTAAAAAAAATCCTGAAAAAAATCAAGAGAGAGTCTTAATTCAGAATCTAATAAGGAATAATGTATGTATTTGGATTTAACTAAACATGGGTTTTTTAATTAAAGAAAAAAATATTCACCTTTCAAAGTAGAAGTTTGATCTTGATTAAATTATTTTTTTTTTTAGTCTGAAATTTCTGAAAATGGAACACACTGTTGGGTTTCAAGATTATGGTTTAATAGATGGCAATTTATGATGACAGTAAGTTGACGAATTATTTATTATAATGTATTGCTTTCATTTTTGAATTTAAATAATATTATTATTATAATTAGCCTGGTCCAATTTCAAATTATGATTTCATGTGTTCACATGGAGGTATGTATTTTCTTCTCATGCAATACATTTGCAATTAACATTTACAATTATATTTATAATACCTTTTCATATTGAAAGGTATCAATATGAAATTATATCCTAAATTACATGATATGGTAGTAAAGATACCAATCAATGTTTATTCAATGCTGGTTGACAAATATGGAACTGATGGTAGTCCACCATTGCTTATATCTGATGTTAAATCAGCAGGATGTTCTATATGCCAGGTAAAATTTATCACTATTGTTAATATGGCTGGTGTTATCGTTATTATTATTATTATAATAATTGTTTTGGTAAAAAATAAAAGCAACAAGAAAGATTAATGGATAAAAGACGTCAAAAGGAAGCTCGTGATATTCAACAATTAGACACAAATTCATTACAAAAAAGAGAGTATTGGTTTCTAATTAGTTCAGTATGGCTTCAAAAATGGCATAATTTTAAAGCTGGAGGTGAATATTCACATATTATTATTGATGATAAATATATTGATGAATGATAATATTAATACTTAATTTAACTATAGCACCTCCACCAGGTCATATTGATAATACAACATTTTTGAAAAAAGATGGAACACCAAGACCTGGGATGAAAATAGGTTCAAATCATTACATTTGTGCTTTTCATTTATAATAATAAATTATTATCTAAAGAAAAAAACATAAATGCATTATTAAATAGGTATTGACTATAGAGGAGTTAATGAAAGGGTTTGGAGCTATTTTGAATACATATATGGTGGTGGTCCTGTATGTGTTAGAGGTATGGGTCATTAGCTGAGTAAAAACGTCATTATTTATTATGATCGAAACATAAAATTTAATTAATCAATTAATTTTATAGCTGTTATTGATCTTTATTCGTCGCCGTTAGACTTTGGAAACCCACAAACTAAATCTAACAATAACAATGTTGTAACAAGCCCAAAAACTTCAAAATATTCATCACACCAATCACACCATTCTTCCAATCAAGTATATCAATCACGTCAACCTTCAAATCAACAACATCAATCATCTTATTTGTCACATCTAATTCATTCACCAAATTCATCACATTTAAATCATTCATTGCCAAAAAATCCACCATTAAATCCAGCTTATCCAGGAAATTATTATAAATATGATAATCGACCAAGATTTTAACACAATAAGATTGAAGAATATTGTAAATTTTTTAATTATTATTCTTTTTTATGTAATTCTTTTTTTTTAAAGAATGATTTCCTTACTGTTATTATTATTTTAATAGTGATAATAGTTATAATTCTTATGATTGTGATTATTTATTTATTTATAATATTGTAAATAGTTTTTATTAGAGATTTTCTTTGATGCTCAAACAAAAGAAAACCTGTAAATTAAATTTGAACTTTTTTTTTTTAATACAAATAAAAAGAAATTAATAATAGTGTCACCGATTAAATTCGGGAGAGCGTATTTTAATTGGTGATAACAATTATTTTTGTTTTTGCGTGGATCAGAATGA